ATGGATTGATTTATTAGGTAAAGTTTTAGGATATTGTTGTCGATTGATCGATATATCGATGGTATAATCACACAATAGTAATAGACGAAACAATTCAATCAGTTACTTAACAGCTGCTTATTTTCATTAGTAGAATTTAAAACAAGATGGAAGTCGTTTTGAGAGGTTTTTGAGAGGTTATCTTTACATACATTTTGTTCCGTTTTCTAGCTTTGTTTTTGTTAATGCAAATAGTTGTAAATAATGTTTTAGGATTAGTAACCGTGTTAAGTGACGCTGTAAATCCCACTTTTTGGGTAAAAGACGAAGGCGGAGGTATAAGGCAATATGACGAGAATATAGTTTAACACACGGGCCCTTTTAACCCTCGCTCATTTTCTGACCTCGGCTTCACCTCGATCGTAAAACTTGACCTCGGGTCAAAAAGAGTCACGTTAAGCCCTAGTGATGAAATATACTATTTCCAATAAAGTTTTTCATCAGACCATTACTGATTTTTTTAAACCTTATAGGGTATACATTATCTCACCAAATCAGTATGAATAATAAAATAGAACTTAAAATATAAGCTTTAGACTAAAGAAACTACATGCTCAATAGTATGCACTGAACAACCAAAAAAAACACGAGAAATTCTTCGAAACACATACCATATATATTGTAAAAAAACTTCATTACCATAAAAAAGCTTGTTGGTAAAAAAATATGTTTACTGGACAGTGATGGGAACGGTCTAAAACATCGGTTAGGTTGAACCACTCACTGTAAAAGATGTCTATAGGTAAAGGGTTGGGTTGAGTTGACAGCTATGTAGATAATAATTAATATTTTTTAAACTTATATTGAATCTAGTATTGCAAAATAGTTAAACAATATCTTGTAAAAATTGTACTCACTTAAAAACAACTACAGGATGATTTTTTACAGATACCGTATAGTCCGAATGCAATCGACCACTATAGTATTCATCAGCACTGAGGTTTAGATATTCACAAAATATCTAGGAATAATATCTACACAAAATATCTATAAGAAATAAAAAACGTACCAACTAGTTAACGAAACAATGCGATATAAAATTCAATATATTTTAACTGTAGATCAATTAATGTTCTTATATCCATCACGATTCCTTTAGTAATTTCATAAAATTATGAATTGTACTTGACAGGGATAACAGGTGAGATGACATTTTTTCATCCGATAATTTAATTGAACAGCAACTTCACTAAGTCTTATTTATGTTATGAGGTCCGATTATGTAGAGAGATAGTTGTTGAAACTATAACATTAGTGCGGTGATTGTCACATTGTTGCCAGAGTACATTAACCTACACCAATAGTTGCACATTACATAAATGTCTTATCCCGGTTTTTCATTGAGTTTTCCTTCTCGTTATGTCTCGTCTACGTTTGTCTTTAAGTTTCAAATAAAACAGTATTCTTGTATAAAAAAAGATTAGGGGTTGTATAGTTATTCTTTATCATAAAGCTAAAATTCCAGCTATTTTTGCATTCTAGGCTACATTAAAAACTATTTTGATATTTGTTTTATATAAGATAGTGGCACTAGTATTGCAATTCATGCGACAAATTAAATGTTGTAGGTAATTTATCACGGTTATCAAGGGAAAAACTAAATATGAAAAAACAAAATATCGACTCTGTGGGTAATTATTGCCTTCCAGACGATTAAAATGTGATATTTACAAATGGTATGAGCCCAGGAATAATATTGTAAAAGGTTAGTAAAGAGTTACCACCATACAATTCATGTCTTGGTGAAACATATTGTTTTCATGCCTTAAGGATTTCCCACGAATATTTTTTTAACAATCGTCTAACATGGTGAATCCAATTGTTTACAATTGTCGCTGTTTTTGTGGCGGCTTAAAAAAAACAGTATTGGTTATGAAAATACAAACCTAAATAGCTTTTAATAATAAAAATAATGAGTTTACTTTGTTATACCATTGACTACTTAGGTTTTGTTAAATCGGAAATACAAAAATAACATCCAAAAGATGAAATCCTGGCAAAAAGTGAAAAGCTAATACGTTTAAGAATCCCTTTACAGGCTGAATAATAATTAATAAACCCTCAATGAATATCCAATTCCTTTCATGGCAGGGCATGCTTTCAAACAATCTTGAAGTATCGACTAAAATGTCTATGATTTACTATAATTACTTAGTATAGTAAGCCTATACCAAAAACATTGAAGGTTGTAACTCGGCCACCAAGTACCAGCCACAAATACATATTTTTTTTTTCGTAGAAAACGATGGATGGCCCTTTAGACTCAATTACAAGAAAAGCGGTATAAAAAATCATATTTGGATAATAAGTGTTTGATATAACTAAAATAACACGAAACACAGACAGATACCACTCACAAAAGCAGAAAGTTGATAAAAAGCTACATATTGTTGCCTTTGATGACAATAAATTTGAAGAAAAAAAACGCTCATTGGTGCAATCACCATACTTTGACACGTCACCTAGATCTAATCAGCAAGGTAAACAGCTGCCCACACGAGACTGCAGCTTTGATGTTGATGATTAACTGAGTGATTAGCTTCTCTGTAGCTAATCAGGATACCTCATTCTCCATACTATAGTAAAAACTAAAAATATATGCAATTATTATTATTATTTTTTTTTTTTTTTTTTTTAGGGAGAGGTGGGAAAATGCATTTATGCACACAGGTTGCTAGCCTGTAGTGTGGGACTCCAACGGGCTTAAGGCCCAGAGACTACCCACTAAAAACCTCCTCTACTCTTCGGACACTAGCCTGGGAACACTTGTCATCAGAACTAGGCCGAGTTTGCCTACGCCCGAGGGGCTTACGCCGTGTCTAGCCGTTTATTTCCTATCAAATCTAGACTATGTTCCGATCTAGATCATTCTTTTTAGCTTTAAGGACATTCCGGACAAAGTGCGACCAGCAGTCCCAGTTGTCCTCACCCTTCAGCAAGGTCTCACAGATCGATTCAATCGACAGCACCCCAAGATGTTGAATGGCCTCCTGGCGAAGCATATCCCATTGTGGACAGTGGAAAAAAGTGTGTTCCCCGTCGTCGGGAATGCATGGGCAGTAAATGCAGTCAGGTGAATTCGTTTTGGCCATCAAGTGCAGGTACGACTGAAAATAGCCGTGACCTGACAAGAACTGCGTGAGGTAATAGTCAACCTCACCGTGCCGCCGTTCTACCCACGGTTGGACCTGCCTGATGAGTCTGGCAGTCCAACGTCCTCGAGTCTCCCTTTCCCAGCTTTCTTGCCACATCTGAAAAGTGCGGGAGCGCTCTTCTGTTCTTGCAGCGTCCTTTCCGATGTAGCCTTGTCTCTGGTAGATTGCCCTCCTCTCCGCTGCCAAGAGTTTGACTGGGATAACTCCAGCGATCACCAAAACGGCCGGTTCGGACACCGTACGGTACGCGGAAGCGACCCTGAGTGCCGCCTGACGCTGCACTCGTGCGAGCCTCAACCTATACGCCTCCTTGTTAAGCGCGTCTGCCCACACCTCAGAGCCGTAGAGAAGCACGGACTGGACTGCAGACATCAGTAGTCTTCTACGGCTGGACCGGGGACCACCGACATTGGCCATAAGCCTAATAAGAGCAGCAACACTCCCAGCAGCCTTGTCCGCCGTACGGAAGATCTGGTCCCTCCAGCTCAGCTTGTTGTCCACCATGACACCAAGGTACTTGGCGGTTCGCGTGGTTTGGACAACTACGTTCCCAACTCGTAGCGGAACGATGGTTTCAATCCGTTTTTTCGTGAGGATGACGATCTCTGTCTTGCTCAGAGCGAGTGTCAGACCATGATCAGTCATCCAGGCGTTTACAACGCGCATTACTTGGTTCAGTTTCAGTTGGGCTAGCTCAACGTTGCGTGCAGCAATGAGGGCTGCGACGTCATCGGCGTACCCAACTAAAACGGTCTCCTCTGGCATCTCAGATCTCAGAAGGCTGTCGTAGGCAGCGTTCCACAAATCTGGGCCGAGTATCGAACCTTGCGCCGCACCGGAAGTAACATCCATCGTCCGCAAACCATCTTTAGTTTCGTAATTAAGAGTTCTGCAGCGCAGGTAGTCCTCGATCAGCCTCAACAGATATGCTGGTACGCGGAAGCTGTTCCTCAACGCGCTCAACATATCGACCCATCTCGCCGAGTTAAAAGCATTTTTGACATCTAGCGTAACAAGAAGCACGATACGGCGAGAGTAATGATTGAAGCTCTCGGCACGCTCTACCGCTCTGTGTAACTCAGATATCGCGTCGATTGTTGACCGACCCTTTCTGAAGCCGTACTGACGAGGAGACAAATCTCCGGCAGCTTCCACGGCAGACGTCAGGCGGCAGCGGATCAGTTTCTCGAAGAGTTTTCCGGCCACAACCAACATACAGAGGGGTCTGTAAGACGACGGCATATTCGGGTCACCTTTTCCCTTGCTGATTAGCACAAGCCTAGCCCTTTTCCAAGGAGTTGGGAAAACCCCTTCGCACAGGCATGTGTTGTACATTCTCAGCAGTAAGAGGGGGTTAACTGAGAATACCTTCTTGAGAGCCTCACTGGGAATACCATCAGGACCAGGTGCTTTCCTATTTTTCAGGGAGAGGACAGATGATTCCAGCTCTTTAATGCTAAAGAGTGGAATGTCCCCTACCTCGCCATAGTCGAAAAAAGGCCGCCGAGGATGAGACGGAAAGAGGGCGGTGACGATCCTGTCCATGGTGGTGCCCTCCATGACGGAAGGTGGTGATCGGGCGCCGAGTTTCTGGGTTACAACCTTGTAGCCCAGTCCCCAAGGATCAGAGTCAACATCCTCCTGAAGCCTCCTCCAACAGCTAACCTTGCTCCTGATGATAGCCCGACGAAGAGCTTTCTTCGCAGCCCTATAAGCCGCTGACTTAGCCTCGAAATCCGGGAATCTTCTGGCCCTCATAGCGGCACGTCTGGCTTTCAGACAAGCTTTCCGAAGGTTCGAGATCTCTTAAGTCCACCAGTACACAGCTTGCTTATCGCGACGGCGTCCCCTGCGTGGCATGGCCTGGTCACAAGCCGAGACAATCAGTTCCATCGTGGACGTTACCAATGCCTCGGCGTCAACAGGTGCAGCAGAATTCACCAGCGCTCCCCGTGAGATTACGTCAGTGAACTTCTCAACATCCAGCTTGTCCGTATTCCATCGGCGTGGTCCAGATCGTGATACAGGCGCCTGATTGTGGTGTTCATCCAGTATATCAAAAACGATGTACTGATGATCACTTGCCGTGAGGTCTTCGATGACCCTCCAGTTGGAGATCCGTGCTAATAGTGATTCCGACGAGAAGGAGATATCGGGGATCGTACCTCTCATGCCGGGGCGCCGGAAAGTAGGCGTGTCGCCCTCGTTTAAGACGACAAGTCCGGCCCTGGCGGCAAAGTCCAGGATGTATTTCCCCCGGGAGTTTGTAGAGGTCATACCCCACTCCACAGCCCTCGCATTAAAATCACCAGCAACAACGACATGCCCAACGGTACCCCGTACACTGTCTTCTAAGCGGTCAATCTTCAGACGGAATTCCCGAATTGGCTCGTTGGGGGTAAGGTAGACACTAAAAAACGTGACGTCCCTACACCTGACCCAAACGAAGCCTCGGCCGCGTCCGTGATCTCGCACTGGTGCTTCCGTGCTGTTTCGAACCCAACAAGCGGCAGTACCAAGAGAATCTGGGAACCAGAAGTGTGGGTCCCTGTCACGGTACTGCTCGCTGATCAGAAGGGTGTCCGCACCGATCTCTTGGGCCAGCTGATCTAAGAGGGAGTCAGCCGTTCTGGACCTCTCAAGGTTACCCTGGAGAATCCTCACTTCCTAGACCTAGCCTTCTCAAGGTCGAGTGCAGCCTTGAAAACACTGCATCGCCCAGCCCCTGGAATGTGACCTAATGAGGCGTCCTTTAGGCCTTTCTCTGCGCAGAGAAAACAACGCTCTGCTGCGGTATAGTTCTTCCTGTTGTGGCCCGAGCCGCCACACCTGAAACAATTCTTGGATAGGTCGGGTCCTTTACAGTTTCGGTAAGAGTGACCAAACCCGAGGCAGCGAAAGCATCGCGGTACAACCACCCTCCGTCTGAGCCTGCAATTGACCCATCCAATTCTCAGGTGTGTGAGATTAAGCAGCTTGCTGTCATCTTGGTTTCGCATTTCAGCGATAGCTATGCGTTGCTCGCTGCGGTTGGGCCGCGTAAGCCATACTTTAAGGGAGTCGGCATTTTGGATATCAGGGATGGCCTTGTTGATAGCCTCCCTGACTTCAGCCTCAGTCGAAAGACCGTCAAGGTCCCGGATCTCCACCGAGGTCCTAGGCTCGAGTTCCCGAACAGTACCGTGGTCCCCCAGAGCCTCTCTGACCTTTGCAGCAAAAGCCACTCGGTCACCAGATTTCCCCAGCTCGAGGAGAACTTTCCCATTCTGGGTAAACCTGATTGACTTAACAATCGTATCCGTCTCCTCTGGCTTGGCCTTAGACTTGAGTCGACCCAAGACTTCAGCAAAAGAGCGCCCCCCTAAGGGGTTGATCAGGATTGCCTCAGCCCTGGGCTTTCTCGGCCTGGGTTTCTTTGAAACAGGGGGGGCCTTTCCACGAACCTCCCTCGCCGGAGCAGGGTCAGCAATCTTTCGATCTCTTGCTGCAGGTTCTTTGTTAGAGACAGCCTCCATTCGTCTCAATTTCCTCTTTTCTTTGCGGGAAAGCCTCTTCTCCCAGTTACCCACATTTGATGGTGCCACAGCAGAGTTCATAGAGCTGCTTCCGTCAACCGTTGGGAGAGAGGCAAGCTCCCTGGTTTGCTGAGGGCGCTTCTTTAGAGCTGGAGTGTGCTCAGTAGGGGGTGTCATCTGGGTGGCCCTGTCCTCGACCTTCTGCTCGACATCTGACAGAGGCTGACTGGCCAATTCAGGAAGATCGGGGCTCTCCGCTGGTGAGCTCCTTGCCCGTTTCCTTTGATTCCCGCCCTTGTCGTTCAGTTTAGGGGCTAAAACTTGGTTCACAAGCTCCCGTTCATTAACTATAGCCTGTCTCATCAAGCCTTTAATTTCGAGAACTCGGGCAACCCGATCCTTCACCTTTGGGAGACCGTCCTTGATTGACCGGTTTACGTTGGTCCGGAGCTTCAAGGTTCCCTCCATATTATTGATGAGGTCCATCATCTCTACCAGGAGGTCAGACTCCTCCTCATCAGCATCGTCGTATTGTTGACGGTAACGCTGAAGTTCGGGATCCGACCTCTGGGGGCTGATTTTCGGCGCTGTACTTTCCAGGAGGGTTCCCGTCAACGCCGGTTCAACGTCTACTTTTCCTTCTCCACTTGTCAAAGGAGATCTTAGTGGGGGGAACTCATTTGAGCCCTTAAAGGTTGCAGGCGGTGGAGTTGCCTTAACGTTGTTCGCTGGTGGCGACCTCTTGACCTTGGAGCTACGCCCAAAAGGGCTCCACTCCTTTTCCGACTTCGATTTTTGCTCATTTGAGCTGCTGTTAAATAATGTGTTGGGTGGGGGGTTTTGACAAGCCATACATGTGTTTACCAGCGCATCGTGCGGCAAGAGACGGCCCGGATTTAGTCAGGAGCGGGTATACCCTCGGGGACAATCCCCTACCCCAGTTCCCCGGGGCCCGACCTCCGTTTGCCCAGCACCGGATACCTGACGTGCCGGGGGTCGCCTGTTGCAATGCAGAGCCCGACCTCTGCATCCATGCCGCACTTCCTGACCAAGGACCGAAGTGGCTGGCTCCTCACGACACACTGGGAATACCCATCGGCAGTGCAGAGCACACATCAACCCCTGCAACACAACAGGGGCACTCCCAGGGACTCCCAGTGAGGACGTCAGTCACCCTTTTAGTCGCCTCTTACGACAAGCCCGGGAGGGCTGCGATCCTATTCTAACCCCGAAACCGCAGGGGGAAATATATGCAATTATAGCGGCAGCATACATTTTAACTACCACGTTACAACTTGTCATGCTATGAAAAGTATTAGTATTTTGTCGTTTGACTATTTTAGCTGTTTAATAAGGTTTGAATACGTTACGGATAATTTTATATCCATATCCAGTGGTAGCTTTATCTTAAAATATGATCAAATACCAATTTAAGAAACAAGTCTGCTACAATACACCAAGAATCCATATATATTTTCTGTTAAGAACGTATTACCTCATCTAAGTTTCTCCAAAATATACGAAAAAAAAGGATTTGAAGTTTGTTTAAATCTGCAAGAAAAGTATTTAACAATCATCTTTACCTTGTGAGAAATGTCATATTATCTGCTTAAATTAACAAAATGTTAGTCAAATAAGGTTTTGATTATAACAATAGTTATTTTGCTAATAATTTGGTTTATTAGTAGTTTACGCAACGATTGCGTGAAGATAGTGTTAACGAAACGAGTAGAAAATTGTAGGTACGAGTCTTGGCGAGTGCCTTAGACTGCTACCAGTGTCGTTAACACTATTTACGCCAGTTACGTACCCTACTTTAACTACGACAATGTTTTAATTACTAAAAATCACAACTCATAGTTTCTGAGAGAGGTTATGTTTTGATTTATATCCTCTCATTACGACTGAACCGTGTGCAACAAAACATTGTACCAAACACTAATTGCACCACACAACAATTAAATTGACCTGAGCAGCTGATTAGTTGAAGTTCTAATAACTAAAATTTTACTTCTTCTCTCCCAATTCTTGAATCTCATTGGTCTGTTACCCGTGGTGTCATGAGTAAAACGATGCTGTTATGAAAGTAAACAATGCTGTTATGTGTACTACTATGAAAATATTTTAATTTTCATCATTTTAAAACAAAGTAAATTAAATGAGCACTTAGGATATAATACAGTATATGATATAATTTGTTGTTTGGTTAAGAAGAGCAAATCACTCTAACCTGTTGGCTATCCTGCAAATCAGCTGTTATCATCCTTGGTCAAAGATGAGATTCATGGTAAAGTCATTAGTTCAGTTCTAGTTCATGTCTGGGCCCCATAGCAAACACACACTCGTTGTCATGTAAGTTACAAATTATTTAATTATAATATTAAGTTGAACAAATGTATAATGTATTGTATTTCAGGTATCAAGACTCTTATATGGTCAAAAATAATGAATTCATATTTTTGCAAGTGATCACAAAGTGTAATATTGTAATGTAAATACAAAGTCAATTTCCTGTTACAGATTGTATAAAAAGCACATGTTTCACAAATATTGAAAATTAATTAAATATTATTCAAGCTATGCTAATTAATGTAAATATGTTTGAATTAATAATTATGTGATGATTTTATATAACTTCACCTTGAGAAACTGTTAAATTAAAATGTAAAGTAACAATTGTCACAGTACTATTCATGATTGTTTTGGTCAGGAAATCACATGCTGTGAAAGGTATGAATATATTTTAAAATGCTCTAATATTAAAATAATGATTACCTTTTACTAGTATTTTCTGGACATATTTCCAGAACGAGTTTCAAGTGTGCTGTGGCTATCAATTTGACAACTCGAATCCGAGCCCTGGGGTACCAGTCCGGTGCTATATTTGCAAGTCTACTGACTAAAGTAAGACTGTTCTTATTTATATTAGAAGTAATTAGTTACAAGAAGTAATGTACTTAGAAGGGAAGAATTTTGATTTAATTAAATGTCATGTATATTACTACGAAGATCATTGATTGCTCACCATTTAACCAATTGTAGTATAGCCTATGAATATCTGAAGAAGAAAATAATATTTAATATTTAAAAAAGGCTAGACAAGGCAAAATTAAATAGTAAAGTACTGTTTGTTCCAAAATTGGCATATAATTGGGCAAAGTGATACATGGGGAAGCAACACTACTGCTATCTTAAACATCTTATAAATTACCCTATATCATCAAGTGTTTGAACAAAAAGTGCAAACTATACAATTAATCATTTTACTATCAAATGCAAGCACTTGGTTCAAGGCTTGCGGTACAAAAAAGTGCGCAACTCTGCTCACTTGTCAACTTGCCAAATTAAAAAAAAAATTAAATATTTATTTAACAAGCAAACTTCAAGCTAAATACAAATCAGACTGTCAATATTATATGAAGTGATTATATTTCAAGCATAATAATCACAGGGAAATTAAATGGTGAATTAAATTAGATAATAATTTTCCGTAATGGAAAAATTCAATATTAATTATTTGAGTAAGGGCGAACTCAAATATGAGATTTTGTGTAGAAATCAAGAATCTACACATGATAATGTAGAAGCATTAAGAAAGGAACTACGGTGTATTATAAGTACATTGCCAGATATATCTAACTTAACTGGCAAACTTAGTGTAAATGAAGAATTTAACACAGTACAGGCTAAAATAGACTTACTAGGGTTATTGATTGAACAAGCTGAAGAAAATCCTACTAACCTACAAATAGCTAAGATAAAGGCTAAGTTAAGTCATGTACAGTAAAGAATCACTAACCTAAAACAATGTCAAGTCATCCCAAGTTTAGCTATCACACTAGAGCAGTTAGAATCAAAGATAAGAGATCTGTCAGAAAAATTTTTAATAGTTAAAAATAAAATATCTGATCAGGATTTAGAAATCTATCAAGAAAATCTAAATAAATCATTATTAGAAGAAGAGGAAATAAATGCTAAATCTGATTTAGATGTAAATGTAATGACAACATCCAATGAAAGCTCCACTCCCATTAAACAAAATCAAGTAATAGTTAATGAAGCTAAAACTACACTTGAAGCTAACCCAAACTTTTACCCAATGATTCCAGTAAATGTGCAAGACCCATCAATTCAAGTAGCTATGTTAAACTCACAGCAAGCTCCAAACTCAAATCCAAATCTAAGTATTTTCAATAAATTACCTAACCCAGCTGAAGCTTATTTACATAATATAACAATCACAAATGGACTTGACATAAACCCATTACTCGAATTTTTAAGAAATTTGGTTAAAATAAGATCTGAAACCAATTTAACAGACTTCCAACTTTATAAAATTTTGCCAAGCTATTCGCAACCTCCCCTCAGTACAAAAATATTACAAGGGAAAATACAGGGAATAACTTTGGATAAAGTACATGAAGATATTGTCAACACATTCATTCCAATAACATTGAGAGAAAAACTTAAGCAAGAATTAATATACAGACCCCAATACCCAAATGAACCGTTATCTTTGTACATAAACGAGGTCAAGATAAGCAATCAGATCCTTAAAACTAAGTTATCTGAACCTGAGCTTATTTGTTTCATCAAGAACGGATTGAGACCAGAAATTAGGAATCAAATAATTTTTGAAAGTAATCCTAAAACATTCAGTGACCTAGAGCAATTATGTATAAGCCTCAACAACATTGGATACAATGATTACTTACGGGATAACATGTTTACTATCCAAACTCAAGTCCACAACTTCACACCTCAGCAATATTGTCAACCCACCAGCAATAACTTGAGACCTAATTTCACACCTCAGTGTAATCAGCATTCTAAACCTCACCAAAATCAAGCTAGACCATATTATTCAAGCTCTAATCATGATGCTAGGATTAAAACATGTTTTAATTGCAATAGAACAGGTCATATTGCTAGCCAATGTTATAGGAAGAAAAAAAACTCATAAATGAGGGAGTATTGAGTAATACTAACTTAAATACTTGTATTCCCGATGACACCAAGATATCTAATACTGAAAATCAATCACCTGAATATAAAACTGAGTTAAGAAAAATAATAAAGGATTGGAATAAATTCAGGAATGTAAAACATAACCGAGTGAAAGTGTATGTAAATAATAAGCTACCTTGTATTCAAGTCAATGTACATAAAAATTTAATTGTAAATACTTTATTGGATACTGGAGCCAGCCAAAACTTCATAACACATGACCTATATAAGCAACTTAATAAATTAAAGGTTGTAAAGTCATTAACAAATTGGAAAGGTACCATGTTCGCTGCTAACAATAGCGAAATAAACGTGTTGGGTAAATGTAAATTTAAAATCAAGATTGGTTCATTTACTTGGAGGGAGGAATTTTTAGTCATGAAACATGACAACTATGACATGATTTTAGGCACGCCATTTATGTCAAACAAAGGACTAATAATTGATTTAGAGAATAATGTTTGCTCCTTCAAATATAAGCCTGGAAAAATAATAAAGCTTAACAATTCATTAAATGAAGAAAATGAATCATTAAATGAAATGTTAATTGGTTGTTCTGATATGAGACAGGAAGTTAACGAATTAATAAATAAGTATCAAAATGTATTCACAGATAAAAATGGTTCTGCATTAAATCTAGAGGTGAAACTTGAAGTTACAGATAACATTCCAGTAAGTTCCAGGCCTTACTACTTAAGTCCACCAAACTTACAAAAAATGAAAACCATAGTTGACGATTTATTAGCTCAAGATATCATTGAAGTATCGACTAGTCCATATTCATCACCCGCATTCCTCACCAAAAAGGATCGATTAGTTATAAACTATACAGAACTAAATAAGAA